GCAATGGCTAGAAATGGTGTTGACACAATGTGATTTCTGCCCAGTGCTCTGAATATCAAAGTGAAGAAATTCAATCAAGCACGGGTAAACAGCAGGAGTAACTATTACTCTCTTGAGGTAGCCAAATGCCTCGTCATCTAATTAGTGATCTGCATGAATGGATGAACGAGATTCCCACTGTCTCTATCTACTATCTAGCGAAACTGCAGCAAAGGGAACGGACTTTGCCAAATCAGTGGGGAAAGAAGACACTGTTGAGCTTGACTCTAGTCGGACCTTGTGAAAAGACATGAGAGGTGTAGAATAAGTGGGAGCAGCTCCCTGTGCTGGTGAAATGCCACTACTCTGATAGTTTTTTTACTTATTGGAGGGAGTGGAGGCAAGTGTCCAAATGGTCACGATTTCAAAACCAAAAACCCTAGACTTGTTTCTTGATATTACATGCAAACTAAGTGTTACTCTCATTGTTAAGCCAATTGTTCTCAACGTTAGGAGTCATGCAGCCAAGACTGAAAAAAATCAGAACTAAACAGAGAAAGGTTACCTTCAAAAAACTTCAGAAAACGAAAAAAAGCCTTGCATCTTCCTTAATGTTTTTTGCTGAAAGTCAGTGTTCAATTTGCCCTGTAGGCAGTCACTGTCACAACACACGATCAAGACAATGTGAAGGTTCAACACGCATCTGTAACTTTCAAAGAAAATTTGAAATGCGTAATTTTCAGAGATGAGTTAAAATCTGTAACTTTCAGAGACGATTTAAAATCCGTAACTTTCAAAAATGATCTTTCAAAGACAAGCAAGGAGAACACACTTCTTCTCGGCAGCCTCCTCTTTTTTATCTTCTCTTTGCCTTTGTCCTTTTTGGACACCTTTTCTTTGTTCTTTTTGGAACTGATGGCTTTGGCAGTGGTTGCCCTAGTGTCAACCTTGTTTTTTGGCGCTGCTACTGATACTTTGGAGGTGTCAGTGGCTGCAGTGGGCACTGGCACTGAAGCTTCTTTGCTGATGCTGCCACTCTTGCTTTCTCCTTGGTGGTGTTCTTGCATTGTTGCTCGTCCTCTTCACTTCTGCTGTCAGAAGAGCTAGATATTGGTGTGGAGGCTGCTGCTTTGGCTCTTTGGGTCTCTTTGTGTAAAGACTTGATGATCGCTGTCATCCTCATCATCATCCTCAAAGTTCGGCAGGCTGGCAGCTTTCTTGCGGGGGCAAGAGCCACCATTTTGGTTTTGGCGCTGTCCATTGGCATGGGGCCCAGCACTGGGCATGTCCTGACTGCAATTCTCATCCCAAGTGTTTCATTGCTGTCACCGCCTCCCAGGCCCTGACCTTGTGAACTCCTCGTTGTTATCTACATCCCAGACTGATGTCCGTCTGGGGTTGTTTCTCCTTCTCTTTGTTATGGGATCAAGGATGTAATTCCTCATGGCTCTTGGACTAGAGTCTTCCTTGAACGCTTGATGCTGGGGTTCTCTGCTGACTTTGACAGCAAAGTCCACAAAATTTCTCATCAGGGTTTGGATGGCTAGGACCTGGGTGCTTACCATCATAAGTGGGCCAGCAGCGTTGAACCCGTCAATTGTGCTTTGTTGTAATTCTGTATTTTCATTGAGGTTCCTCAATGGACTGACCACATCCTCCCTGCTGGGGGGCGTCTGGTCACCTTTGTCCTTATTGTCCATCCTAGCCAAAGCAGGAAGGAGGTGGTCAAATGAGGACAACAGATCATCCACAAATTGCTCACTGAAGATTGTGCCATGGAACTGCCTTATTAAAGGCATATTGTCCTTTATCGTCATGGTGAGTTCTGAAATTGCGATGTTGGGCCATGACAACCACTTGCAGTTCCAACTATGGAGCCTGTTAAGGACGGCATCATCCATTGGGTCCTGAAATGCTGGGCCATAGATTAGGAGAAATCTCCTTAGGAAATGTTGGTTGTAGACGGTTTTTCTACGGATTGATGAGTTCCCTGAAGGAGGATGCATTCAACTGCGACATCTGTAGAAAAAAACATTATTTCAGTCTCTTTATTTATCAATAAATCAGTTGTGCCTACGAGGTATTTGACTGCATCTAACACTTTCTTTGGTCTTACATTCTGAATCTGATAATGGTGTTTATAGCTGAGATGTCTTCAAGTTTAATTGGAATTGTCTGTGATTCATTCATGAACCTTGGCAGGTAGTGCACAGTTGAATTTACATCACTTGGTACATTAACAATGTTGCCATGAATAGTCAACTGGCCCCCTCTTGGTAGTTTACGGATTTGCATAAACGGGATGTGAGGTGATACTAGTCGTTCTTCTAATGGTGTCAAATTTAACAATTCGGGCTTCATAGGAAAACTCATTTTATTGGCTTAAGAGCAGCTAGGTAACTTCCCTTTGTTTAGATTTAAGTCACAAGTTGTGCAAATCCATTCAGTATTATCTACACTTTTCAACCACACAAGACTTTAAAAGATCTTGAGAACATACTTTGTACTTGGTAACATCACATTTCACTACTGAGGACTTGTACCACAACTGGTCACAGATATATTCTGGGCCACATTTAATGTGATTGTGAAACAAATTGATCATAGAAATTACATTGTGCTCATTTTTCTGAGCTTGTAAGTCATAACTATCAGTTGTTGGTCGTGATTTAGTTTGTGCATTTTGATATTGCATTTTAGCACATTGTGCAATTCGATGAACACTCATAACTGTTTTCTTAACTTTAACATAGTTTCTCTTTATTTGGCTCATGGGTTCTGAGTTTTTTACTTTTCTTTTCTTGAAACTGTGGTTATTGATTTTTTTTCTATATTCTGGATTCTCTGCTTTCCGTTTCATGAGAGATCTTTTAGCAATTTCTTTTATGTGTTCTGGATTCTATACTTTGTGTTTTCTCTTAGACTGTTTGTCAATTTCTCTTACGTGTTCAAGGCTTGTCATTTTTCTTTTAGTGACAGCTTTTTTCTTTTTCTCCTTAATTGTTTCAATGTTGTATCTTTGCATGGAATAAATGTTCTCGTTTTTTCTATATTCTGCATCACCTCTTTTCTTTTTTATGTATTCTTTTTTGCACGCTCTGCGTTCCTTTTCATCGATTAGTTTGTCTTCAATTAAAGTCTGACCTTGACCTCTTCTTTTTGACTTTGGTAAATCAGAACTACTATTTTCTACTGTAGACATGTCATGAGTTTCACGTATATGTGCAATGTAAATTTTTGTGCATCCACTTGTCACATTCGTTGGTTGAACAATAGTCACAGGATTAAAAGTTTCATTTGATTCAGCAATATGAATTGATAAGTTGAGACAGTCGGTCACTGCTTGAATTATAATTGCATCAGCCCATGTTCCCTGACATGACATGTTACTCAAATTGCTTTCTAGGAATGCTTAGTATTACTCTCTATAAACTGTTCTGGGTTATGCATTAGATGCTGAATGCCAAGATTATGGACCTGTAAGTGGTTATCAGGATTGCCATTGAGTTTATGTGATACTTGAAGCGAACTCCTCGGTTGATTATCCTTTAATTACAACGATGAAACAGTTCTACAGGGTGAAACAGTATAAATATGCTGAATGACAAGAGCAATAAAGCTAAATGCCATAACGAATAACGAACTTACGATAATAAGTACAATCAGATTAATCCGTCCATGCGAAACGAGTTCTATTGTTTTTAAAACAACATGGCCGACTCTCCACTCTTGGTAGCTGGAGGTCCCGGGACTGTACGTCGAGGTTTGGACTGTCGACCTGTGTCGGTCTTGCTGGGGTGAGGGGCAACAGCGGTGCTGGGGCTAAGACCATGTTTGGGTTGTTGGGCGTTGCCACCATAGGCTGCGTGGACTTGGGAGTCTGTAGTGTTGGCACAGAGGGCGGGGAGTTTGGGCACTGGTCAGCACTGCTGGTAGGTAGTTGTGAAGCTGTTGGCCGCTGTGAACGTATAGAGGGCGTGGCTGGCGTGTAGGCTCCCAAGGGGGCGGCCAAATATGATTTACATGGGTGAGAGGTTGCAATCTGGGTCTGGGGTGTTGCGTAGTTGTAATGTGGCACGTAAGAAGCAGTCATGGTCGAGGCTGCTCGTTGGGGACAGCAGGAGGCGCTTGGCTGTTTTCGTGGCAACTTCTGCCCGGCCATTCGATTGAGGGAAGCTGACAGGGGACATGCGATGTCGTACACCCCAGAGGTGGAGGAAAGTGAATGTAGCGAAGAACGAACGGAGATGGCAAACTAGGCCGGCTGAGCTGGCGAGGTTGGTACCAGCTGTTGAACTTAGGACTTCCACCCAGCCGGAAAGGCGGTCACCTACGACCAGGTAATGGCAGCCTCTGTAGTCAAAGAAGTCTGCAAAGATGGCTTTAAATGGGGATAATGGTGGTGTAGATAGGAGAGGGGGGGTGGCAGCCTGCGAGGGTGCGTTTCGATTGCAGTCTGCGCATCCCTCCCTAGTTTCGCGGATGTCCTTTGATATCCCGGCCAGTAGACGATGGCGCGGGCTCGCTGTTCCATCGAGGAGGTCCCTTTATGGGCCGCATGGAGATTCTGTAAGACTCGGCAGCGTAGGGATGGGGGGATGACGACACCGTCCTGGTAGAGGAGTATGCCCTCTTCTGCATAGAGAGACTCGCAGATGGGCCAAAGGCTTGTCAGGGTAGGGTTGTCGCAGGCAATCAGTTTTCCTTGCCCGACTGATCATAGGAGAGGGCCCAAAAAGACATCTGCAGCTGTCTCTGTAGCGAGGAGAGACCAGGAGATGGCGCATAGCTCCTGGATGTCGTTGCAGATGGTGTTCATCAATGCTAACTCTGCGATGTCAGGGAAGCTGGGTGATCCAAGAGAGACATTGTTCTCTGTAGAGGATTGGGAAGGGTGTCTTGAGATAGCGTCGGCGGCGTGGTTACTCTTGCCAGGTAGATGTCTGATCTCGAAGTGCCATGGGAGAGTGCGCTGTTTGAGGCGAAACAGGCATGAATTGGTGATCTCATCCAGAGTGCGGTCGCCGAAGATCTAGATAAGGGGTTTGTGATCGATGACTATCACGAGGTTGTCGCAACCTGGTGTAAAGTAGCGCGTCTGCTCTAAGCCCCAGGCCACGGCAAGGGCTTTTCCTTCAATAGCTGAGTAGAGCTGTTCTGCAGAGTTCAAGAAGCGGGAACTGGCAAGTGTGATTCTCCATCCCCCGGGGCAGCAGTCTGGAACACCGGAGGGGCAACTACAGTGTTGCTGAAGGAGAAAGTAACCGATACCACACTTGGACCAGTCAGGGCGGAGGCAGGTGCGCCTCTGTATGTCAAAGATTTCCACCCCCTGGCGGATAGCTTCAATGATGGCTTCCTTGGACGCTTGAAATGTTGACTCGAGCTCGGGGGACCATGAGAATTTGCAGCGGGGGCTGAGAAATGGTTTGAAAGGGGCCATGGAGTGGCGCATCTGGGCGTAGTTGGAAACCTGGTTAACGAGGCCAAACCAACTCCTGATGTCTGTGGTGCTAGTAGGGGAGGGGAAGTCTTTTATGGCATCTAAGTATTTAGGAAGGGGTTCAATAGTGCTATCAGATACTCTAAACCCAGCAAAATCTACGCTTCTCTCAGCAAACTGGAACTTGTCAGGGTTGAGCACAATCCCCGCCTGGCCTACACCCGTAAGGAAGTTGATGGTCCTCCACCAGTGTTCGAGGTCGGTGTCGTAATGGACTGTGTTATTGACACAATGTTCCTTGCGCTCAAACTCGGCTAGGATGGCATCAAAGCAGCGATTGTATCCGTCCCCTGATGACAGGAAGCCTTGAGGTGCCCTCGTGTAGCACCAGCAGCCGAATGGTGTGATAAAGGTGGTCAGGTGGCGGTCAGAATCACGCAGAGGAACACTGTGGTAGCCGTTCCAGGCATTGGTCACGGTCTTCCAAGTGTCCTTGGGAATGCAACGGGCAAGTTGGAAGGGTGATCTCATGGCAAAGGTCTCACGTTGGCAGAATTTGTTAAGTGGCGAGATATCGACTGTGCGGCGGGGGGAGCCGTCGTGCTTTCGAGTGATGACCATCCTATAACACTACGTAACCGGTTTGCCGTATGGCACACGCTCGATGACACCAAGAGCTTCTTCGCAGAGGAGGTCATTGTACACCTGTTGCTGCCAGTGGAGGGGTATGTTGGCTGGTTGTGGCAGGCCTTAGGTGTGGCCGCTGGGTCAACATGTATCTCTATGGGTGGGCCCTCCATACATGGTAGCGCTCGATGAGGGCAAGTGTTGAAGGTGGATGAGGCATATCTGTTGAGAAGCCAAGCCTTCATGTTTGTGTTGTTCTCAGGCTTACAGGGGAATGGCAACTCAGAGGGACGTGGCGGTGCTGCTTCGCGCTGTGGACATGAGCACGTAGCGTTGTGGGCGGCGTTGGTTACTGGACAGCCTTGGGCGCGTATAGCGTTGATTTCGGGTGATACGCGGGATGCGTGTGGCTGCATGGCTGAGGTCTCTCTATCAGGTGGGGGACCAGTGGGGTTGCCGAGGCATGGGAAAGTGCGCGGTAGAAGTCCAAGGTTGAGTAGCGAGTCGTAAGACAGGTACATGTCCTCTATGGAGCTGCTCACATAAACCATGGAGTGGCATGCCATAATCTCGCCGCAGCTGGACTGTGTAGCAAGTTTGGCAAAGAACGCTCCCTCTATCAATATGGGTGAGCGGTTGGCTGCTGAGAGGCTGAGGCTTATGGGATGGAGGTCGTCACGAGAGAAACCACAGGCTATAAAGTCGGACAATGACCACAAGTCCGATTGGGTGCCAGTGTCAGCTATTGCAGATACTTCGGCATAGATGTCTGAGGGTGTGTTGTAGGCGCCACTACCGGTCCTGCTGGGCCGGGAGAGGGATATGGTGATTGGGAGCCTAGGGTGATCTCGTAAGCGAGTCCTTTTCCACTCCCCCTTAGAGAAGATGTGGTGATCTAGTTGCGCTGCTGATGGTGTGGTGATGGTGACATGTGTGGTCGTCTTCCAGTTGTGGCAACGTCTGCGGGGGGTTCGGGGCAATTGGGCACCCTTGGTCTTGAATGCTGCTATTTGTGAGATCGGTTCGGTTTCTGTGGTGTGGATCTTTGGGGTCTGGGGCGGGCGTTGCGGAGGCTGGCGTTGGGGATGTTTCTTACGGTGATTGGCCCTGTGGCATTTGATGCACATTTGGTGGGGCGTCTCGTTCCAACCTCGGGCCCCTTCCGTGAAGACCTTAAAGGCGATGTGACAGCCAGGGCATGTCACTTCCTTTGCCCAATCCGCTTGAGAGGGAGTTGGGGCGGGGTTTGGTGGTGATTTCCTTTGCTTCTCGAAGGAAGAGACAGCTGATAGTGAGGGGGGGAAGGGCATTACGGGCCATCTCTTTGGTTTCCACTAAGGCGATAACCTCGTTCATCGGTTTCTCGAGTATGCCTGCTATGCCTAGAACTTCCCTCCTGATGTTGGTGTCGTAGAGGCCATTCAGGATGACGTCACAGATGATGTGGTCAGTGTAGTCGACCGAAGCGCCACAGGTACACGAAGTGGTATAGGAACAGGTTTCCAACTTCCCCCGTACTTTAGCTGTAAAGGTGCGGAAAGGCTCGTCTTCTGCCTTAGTTGGAGAAGCTCTGTACGTAGCACACAAGTGGCGACTGGGATTACCGCTAAGGAGCGCATGGCGGCCAGCAGTTGGGTCAGGGTCTCAGAAGTGGCGTTAGGATTGGCTTTGAGACGGCTGTCCCCAAGTTCAGCTCCTGCACACTGGAACAGCTGGGAGGGCGCCGAGGCCCTGAACCTGATTTGAAAACCTCCCAGTGTCTCGTGAAGATGTTCCACTCCTCTATTGTAACTCCAACATCAACCTTGGGCCGCTCTAGTTTTGGGCCTCTGGGTGCTGTAGGTGCTGGGGCAGTGTCTGCGACGGTAGGCGCCAGGTTGCGGTGGGCCAGTTTGTGATTAGAGAGAAGGGCAATTGCCAGTGCTTTGGAGACATCGTCTGTTGTGAATGTGCAGTTGGGCACAGAGCATTCGATGACTACCATGACGAAGAGATCAACTGTTTCATGAGGCGAACTCCTCGGTTTTTTTTTTTATGCTTTAATTACAACGATGAAACAGTTCTACAGGGTGAAACAGTATAAATACGCTGAATGACAAGAGCAACCTGGTTTCTAGCAGGGGAATGGAGTTGGAAGCTGAGGCACCTTGTGTTTCTAATTGTGTATTTGTGCTGCATTTATTTGCATCACCAAGAATGCTATTGTCTTTTGCGACATGTACTTGCAGTGCCCATGTAATCAGCGGGCAGCATAATAATTTGCATATCTTTTACTTTTCAGTTGTGATTGGTCAGCAGATAAAGCTTTGAGAATACACGAATCTCTTGGCAGATTTCAGCTGCTGTCAATCAAACAGTTGGATGCGTAAGTAAATCCCAAGGTGACATAAGGTGAACAATAGGAGTAATTAACAATAGCCACGCCCTTAACTAAGCATTTAGCAAATTTGTTTGCAGGGAATTCTTAAAGAGACTGACAGACTCACGTTGGTCAAAATGTTATCGGAATTCTAGAAATTAGTATCGTGAAAACAGAAAATAGAAAATTAGGAAAATAGTATCATAAAGAATAGGCGGGTTAAAAAGTGTAACTTGTAATCAGGCGGTTTTTAAGTGTGAAAGGCTTGCAGTTGCAGACTGAAAACAAAAAAAGGCCTGATCGAAGGTTATAAAAAGCGCTGCTCTGAAAGCCAGCTAACTTATGGTTGAGTGAAATTTAAGTTTCATTTAATCTTTGTCTTAAATGTGGTGTTGGTGCGCCCCAGTATTAAAGAGAATAAGTAGCTCGAATAAATGGCCTAACCTCAGTTTTATAGCGAGTGTGATGCGTGGTTCACTCGCTTTTACTTGACACTTGCATTGTCATACTCAACTGAAAAATTTTGATGGTTGAACAGGGCTTTTATTCCTTGTTTATCCATCAAAAAGAAGAGTTACGCAATGAAAAAAAAACAACGAAAACAACGACGATTGCAAAAGAGACTACGGTGGAACTCCGTTAATACGGCCACCTGCGGGCCATGGAAATTTATCCGTATTGATGGGAGTAAAGCATATCACTCACTTGTACTTCACACTTGCGCTCTTTGACTCCACCAATTAACGCAGTTTGCTGACCAAACGGAAGAAAAAGCAAGCAAACTAACTAACAAATGGCCACCTCGAACAGGTTGACGGCCGAGGGAACAGTTACATAATTATTCATATTTGGATCCGTTTTGATTAATCAAAACATATAATTAGTGCAGTTGCTAAAACTTATTTGCAACAACATGTCGAAGTGTGCGAGACATCAGCCAGGGTTTTATGCAACATTATTGAATGATGTCTGCCATCGTGGCTTTAATTCGAAATACTGACCGAAGGTAAAACCTACTGTTATGGGCGTTTATGAAATCGATCGTATTGTAGCAAAACGAGTTCAAGGAGGCAGAAGAGAGTACTTTATCCAATGGCAAAGCTACTCCCCTAGTGAAAATACGTGGGAACCAGCCAAGCATTTGCCCAAATAACTCATCACTGCCTTCGAGAACAGATGTGTTGATCCATTTTACACTGATGAATGCTGAGGGAGACTAGCTCTTTTATTTGAGAAGGGTTAAAAATCGCCTCTGGCATGCAACAAAACTATCATGATGAGGCACGATGTAGTTTGAGCGCTCTTCCCTGTTTTACCGTCAGACCTCTGTGGGTCTCCGTATCTCGCCAGTGAAGAGGAACTGATAGCAGCGGGCCTTGGTCCTTATCTGAATAAGTGTTTAACAGTAACAGGTGGTGGATGTCGTATTGACGCTTCAGTCAACTTGAAGCTGCTTCTTGGCAAGTCGCTTTCCTTCATAGATAAACAAGGCTGCAAAACAGCTCCCCGCCCGCTAGAAAAAAGTTCAAATCAAGTTTACAAAGAGTTATTTTGCTGGCATCCTGCTTTTATGAAAATGGCTTCTTTAGAAGCCACCAAATGGAATAAAAGTTTCTGAGCAACAGTGGTATTCATTCATAGCTACACAGTTACTTATTGATTAGTTGAGAAAGCTTTTCCAGATAACAAATTTATTCAATTTTTACAAAAATATCATTGTAGTTGCAGCTCCCATGATTATTCACAACGACTGTGAACCTACGGAAAAAAAGACGTCCGTTTTAATTCTTAACAGTCCAATTGTTTATCTCCGAATAAAGTTTTCTGATGTTGCAGGCGTATTGGTCAGAAATTAGACCTAAGTGAAAAATTACTAACATCATGCCACAACTTCTGGCTCAATTACAGACCCTAGAGAGCGGTGCAGATCGATGGGATCGCATTATCATTCATTTTGCATGAAATACATTTTTAACGAATACTTAATACAAAATAGTCATTTATCTGTATCATAGTTCTCCAGAATTTCCTGGATGGCTGGCTGAAAGGCCACAAACTGGAGTGCCAACATTACCATAGAGTCCCTGTTAAAAGTTGACAGTTCCAGAAATGACCACTAGAACAATGAACTTCAATTTTTTTTCTTTGAAGAGCATAAAATGAATCCACAAGATATTAACCATCTCACAAGGAGATCCGTCTGCTGGATGACCTATGCTTGGATGGCATCTGCGAAACGTCCGCGTAGTTCAGGCACAGAGGTCACGGCTGTATTGATGCGGGGACGTCCTTTGTGCTTTGAGTGGTGGATTCGCTTGGGTTGGAGACGCACTTTGCTGGCGACCATAGAGTGGTCGGTGTCGCAGTCAGCGCTGTGGTAGCTATGGGTGGACAGGACACTGTTCAGCAGGGGTCTGCGGGTGATCACGAGATCCAGCTGGTGCCAGTGACGGGATCTGGGGTGCCGCCAAGACACTCTGTGGTGAGGTTTCGTGGTGAAGAACATGTTTGTGATGCAGAGGTCATGGAAGGAGCATAGCTCGAGGAGACGCTGCCCGTTCTCGTTGAGTTTGCCTACGCCAAAGTGGCCGATGCATCGAGGCCAGGAGGTGAAGTCTGAACCAATCCGGGCGTTGAAATCGCCAAGCAGGTACAGGTGTTCTGAGGGGGGTATTTCCTTGATGGCAGTCTCAAGCTGGCTGTAGAACTCGTCCTTAGCCTCTGCTGTAGAGCAAAGCGTGGGGGCATAGGTGCTCATGATGTTCACAGGGCCTGAGGTTGTTGTGAGGCGAAGGGAAAGGATGCGGGCTGTGCCTTCTGAGGGTGGTTCAACTGAGGGCAGTAGGGAGTTCCTAACTGCAAAGCCTACACCATGCACACGATGCTCCTCTGGAGCTTTCCCCTGCCAGAAGAAAGTATAGTCCTCCTCTTTCAGGCTGCCATTGGATGGAAGTCTAGTTTCCTGCAGTGCTGCTATGTCAATGTTGAGCCTCTTGAGCTCTCGGCTGATGACTGCTGTCTTCCTTGAGTCATCGATCTGCTGGAGATTGTCGGAGAGGCCAGGGCACATGGTCCTGACATTCCAAGTTGCCAGTCTCAGCGCTGGCGGCTTTGATGTCTTTCTTCTTCTTTTGTCTGGTGCGGGATTTACAGTCCGCTCTTTGGTGTTGTCCTTAGCTCCAAGCACCCATTGAGGCAGGCAGACTGTGACGGGTCAGCACCTTACTGGCTGGGGGCTGCCCAGCTTGAGGCGGGCGATAGCTGACCAGTGGGACGCGAAGATCCCTCCCACCGTCGGAGACAGCCCCTGGCGTCCGAGCTCACGCCAATACGCTCTGGGCTTATAACCGGTATCTGCTGTCTCCCGTGTTGTTTCTGTCGCTGGAACGGCACTGGAGTGACCTCTCCAGGGCGCAAGCCTGGGCGGAGTGTGTGGAGATCCTGGGTTGCCCAGTCGGCAGGACCCCCCTCTCGGCCTCGCCGGTGTAGTCCAAAGGAATGCAGAGCAGTACGTTTGGCACCAGGTTGGCTGCAGGAGCTGCCGGAGTCAGTGAGCACTGCACGCTGGTCCGCCTTCGGGGCTCCACTCCTGATTTGAAGGGTTTACTCCCCTACACATGGCCGTTGGATCTTCAGATCTCCTCCGCCCTCTAGCCGTTGGCTGCCTGGAGCAGCTCCTCCGCCTAGTAGTGATGCAGTGTAAACATCACCCCCTCACGTGGTTTAGCCCGCCAGCTGAGGCGGTGTGCCGGGGTGTGGCGCTTGGAGCCAGCACGTGAGAGATTTAGGAGATGGATGAGGACCAGTGTGCCCGTCCACCCTACCAAGTAGGATGCAGCCGCCAGACGACAAAGTTACTACCTCTATCCAGAGCCCCCCTACACCCCACCACGATAGGTAAACTGATCAAAATCAATAAAGTCGTTACAAATATTGGAAAGCTCAAACCTATAGACCAATCGTTCAAAGAGTCTCATGATAACAGCAGTTAAAGAAATTGGCCGAAGCTGGGTACAGCAAGTTAATGGAGGTTCCTTTGGTAAAGGCTTGATGTCTGCCATCTTCCAAGAGGATGGTACTTTATGTTGTCGCAGCGAGCTGTTAAACACATCGGTAATAGCAGGGGCAAGATCATAGGCGAAATCTCTAAAAAGCCAGTATGGGAGCTCATCCAGGCCACTAGCAGTCCTCTTAAGCCTAGAGAGAAAACTCGTAACAACCTGAAGAGGTATTTCAGGTATTCTTGCACCATTAGGAATATCAATTGGTGCAGGGGCTATATATTCAGGGTCAGAGGATATGCTACAAAAGTATTTATTGATGATGTCTGGGTGAATATCTGAGCTAATCAACTGGGGCTCAGTATCTCTTCCAGTGAAGTTTGGATCTCTTCCAGTTTCATATGGCTGTTTAACTCTTTCTTCCTCCCTAAGCTCCTCTTACCTTTTCTCCACCAGTAGCAGGTTTGTTGTGGCATCCCATCTGTTGATTTTACAGTAGAAATAGCGCCACAAATCATCACCTGAATGGTATCCTGGCTGTTTGGACCAAGTATCATCAACCATCCGCAACAGCTCAGCACTTTGAAAGTGAGTACATGTATGGGACATGTTGCACCTAGAAATCATTAAATAATGTCAGTTACTTCTACAAAACTGAGAAATGTAACTTGGGAACATTTGTCAATGCTTCATATTTTCCTTATTACAGATTAAGATAGAAGTTTTGCAAAATGGTATGAGATTATGATTAGAATGTTACTAGATCTTGTTTACCTGTCATTCTTAAAGATTTTACACTAAACACAGCTGTTGTTGGAGGTGGCAGCCTTCATCCCCATAGCTAGAAGTAGGAACTGTTGGAAACAATATAAATTTCATGTACATTATATAATAATACAGTGGGATCTTGATTACTTAATCCTTCCTGAGGGTTTAATTACAGTGAAAGAAATCCAATGGCAATGACTTTTTGTTTGAGTTAAATCCAGATCTTTCGTTAAAAAAATGCATACTATCAGAAGTGATAACTACTTAATCATCAGCTAACATTTTGTAAACCAGCTATTGAAGATGTGATGACTATTTTTTTCAAAATCTTAAAGAATAGTACATAAAACTTAATTTACCTTGTAATCTCCTCCTCAGGTAGAATTTTAAGTTAACTTTCTGGCCACCAACCACAAGATGACCCTCTTTGATGGTGGCATTCACATCACAGATGACATTTTTTAGTGATTCTCTAAGAGTCTGGTATTCTTCCTTTCCCTGGTTGGTTGCTCTTCCCATAAGTAACTAACCTGAGCTTGACAAATAATTTTGTTCATTCTCCACAATGGCAAATGAACACACAAAAACATTGCTGTTGTGAGACATTCTGGTGCCATCTCCGGATATCTTCACTTTAATGTTTTGTACAAGCAATTCAATATTATATATAGAAGGGTTTATTAAAAGTATTCAAAAATAGCACCCCAGTGGTGAATTACATGTGAATTTACAAGTATACTTTAAATATTTAAAAAATACGACAATCTTACATTTGACTTTAAAATTAAAAGTCTAAGGGGACTGGGAATTACAAGAGTCAGTAGTTATATACCAATGAAAAACGCTTAGGTTTGCTTGACTACAAGAACTGGGCGTTAGACGCCATTGTTGGAAAGAAAGATTTTTTAAATCTTTCGGTCCGGCATTTAAAGAGTGATACATGGTTTTTGTTGCGCAACTCATAAACGTGGCAATCGGCGCGCTTTGGTGGAATAAGGTGGTACAGCCGTGACCCAGGCACACAGATACCGTCCCAAACTTTCTTGCAGAGTTCGTCTCTTCTCACATTTAAGCGAGTGGAGTTTGCAGCCACAATGGCGTCTTTGTAGCTCAGCGCCGGAAATAATATACGCAGAGCTCTTTTCTGAACTCTTTTCGATCATGTCCTTGAGGTAAATTGGTAGGCTAGTAGACCAAGTGACGCAGGCGTATTCGAGGACCGATCGTACCAAGGCATAAAATATGTTAATAAGGTCATCGGTGGAATTCCGGACCGCTTGAGCACTCTTAAGATGTAAAGACGTTTTGAGGCTTTGGAGACAATCTCACGCGACGTGCTCATTCCACCCAAGAGTGTCGCTGATAGTGACTCCAAGGACCTTGTGTGAGGAGACCCGTTCTAAGGGACGTCCATTGACGCACAAAGGGCCAAGATCTGGCCGTGTTCTAAGCGAACAAATCACAAGTTCCTTGCACTTCTTTGGGTTGAGGTTCATATTATTGCGCGACGACCACTGTGCAATGGCGTCAAGATCTTTCTGAAGGGACGATGTACCGCCTGATGGGATGACCTCGGATATTGTTAGGTCATCTACATATTTCCAGTGGCTCGATAGTAATGGAGTTTCAATCGCGAGATCGTTAATCATCAGGAGGAACAGGATGGGGCCAAGCTTAGTGCCCTGCGGGACTCCAGCGTGCACGGGCAACCAAGGGGATACAATGTTCTTAATCTTAACAGCTTGGCGACGGCCATAAAGAAAAAAACTGCAAATCCAACGGATAATAAAACCACGGACCCCAAGGTGGATGAGTTTATTGACTAAGATAGTGTGGTCAATATGGTCAAAAGCCTTACTAAAATCCAGGAAGCAGGCCCTTAAGAACATACCTGGTTTGTCAATAGAGGACAACCAGTTGTGCATCATATCCAACAGGCAATAGATGGTTGAAGTTCCTTTGAGGCAGCCGAATTGGCTGAAATCGATGAGGTGCACAACATCCTCAATTAGCCATTCAACTACGAAATCCTCCAGGACTTTAGAGACGATTGCAGTTAGGGAGATAGGTCTTAAATCTTCCCTACCGGTTATAGGCGTAACCTTGGGTACCGGTGTGACATTAGAGTCTTTCCATGCAGTAGGGAAGGAGCCTGATGCAATAGAGGTGTTGAATATTCGCGTGATCGGCTCAGCGAGCTCAGCAGCATATTCTTTCCAAATACGAGTCGGAATCCCATCAGGCCCAGGGGCCTTAAAGGCGCCGATGGCAAGTAGCTTTTTGTAGACCCTTTGTGTCTCGATTACGGGCGGTTGAGGGGATGGTAAGTAGCAGGGCAGTGCACTTGTATCAAGTGGCTTAATGTCAGATATTACAGATACAAAAAACTCATTAAGGCGTGTTGCGAGAGTCGCGCCAGAGATAATTCTGCCTTCCTCGTCAGTATAACTGAGTTCGTTAGGGCTGCTAGCCTTCCCTGCAAGCTTATTCACCATACTCCACCATTTCCTCGGGTCAGTGCTCTTGAGGTTATTAACTTTGTTTTTATAGAACTCGCATTTCCGGCGGGTGATAACCTCTCTGACCTTATTTCTAAGGCGACGCCATTTCTCCTCCGGGCCATTTAGATAGGCGCGTTGGCGCTCTAATATGAGAGCCTTAATCTCAGGTGACATCCAAGGCTTGTCCATTGGATGAATCTTCACGTATTTGGACGGAAAGTAGATATCGCTGGCTGATGAAAGATCCTTAGTAAATGAGTCAGTGAGAGAGTCAACTGATGGTGAGTCACCGTCTACTTCTAAATCACTGAACCAACGGTGTGAACACGCCCACCTCCCAAAAGCGTTTATTGCCGACCGAGGAAAGCGACGCATCAGGATCCTTTTCTTTTCAACGCACAGCGGGTTGAGTTGGTTCATTGAAAGCGGATTCCAGTGAACAGAGCTATTGTCCGAAGACCCTAATTGTGCGCTGACAATTGGTTCGCTATAGTATTCACTAAAATCCGTTAAAATAAGGTCTAGTATGCTATTGCCCCGAGTGGGTCTGATAACTACTTGTTTTAGGTTATGATTGGCTAACATGTCTGAGATGTCCTGGGTGTTAAAATCGCCTAATAACACTACACCACAGTCTGGATAAGAAGTCTTTACGGAGTCTAGTGTTTCTATGATGTACATTATTCTTTAGCTATGAAAAGAATACAACACAGGAAACAATTGGATCATATTATGATTTTGATATTTTGATTAGCCAGGGAAAAAAAACATTTTTTTTTACCTAACAGAGGCACAGTGTGAGTGAAATCCTTAACATACTCTTGTTTGGCTTAACTTATTGTGTACTTGGCAATATCTCTTTGACTTCAATATTAAACATGTTAAACGTGCTCAAACATGTTTGGGCTGATAGGGGAAAAGGATTTTTTGTATCTGAAGACTTTTACACTGGGCACCTGATACATTAGTCAAAACAGATTATAGAACAACTTGCTCCAGTAGAAGTTTGAGCGGCAGCTCTGCACCTGGTGTCAGTGTAACTTCCCACTTACCGTCCAAAACCTTGGTGTAGCAGTTAATTAGATATGTCCTGGGGAGACTCTTTTCAACTTGGGTGAGTTCATGATATCCCTCCAGTGAAATGGAAAATCTATCCATAATAAATAGGAGAGCCCTTATCTTTTCCTTCCCCTCCTGGTCAAGGTTGTCATAGGGCTTATTAGGTTGGCCTGTGAGAAAAAAATAGAAAAAGCCTAGTTATCAAACTGCACACACTAAACAGTATTAAAGTCTAGTTAACATATCAGAGAGAGAGTTAATAGAAAAACATTTTCCAGTTTCTTGTTTTGAGCATCAATACTATCTTCTCAGAATAGCTCTTTATGCTTGTTCAAAATTAATTTAATCTTGTGGCTTCCTTCACAGTTTTTTCCCACTTTATTAAAATTTGTACTTTTGTTTCTCATTCAGCAGTTATTACGTGTCCCAAGTTGAAGTAAATTGAATTTCTATACTGAGACATGCTGCAGGGCTCCAGAAACAAGCCTACTTTGTTTTGAGATTATTGTTGCTTTTTAACATGTGTTCTTCTCAGATGACTTATCCTGACTCCCCTCTGAACAGACAATACTCTCTGCAATAAAGGAAAAAAAATTCTTGATATTGAAGTGTTTTGGTAAAACAAAACTGGGTTGAACTATGGTTACCTTCAAACAACTGGGCCTTCGTGATCATTACAACCTATGTAGTGGTAGTTACCTTGATTAAATTCTTGACCTTTAAAGGTTACATTGATCAGCTGACCAGTAGTGTCTTCTAGACTCAGCGATTTTGGAGTCAGTCCATATGTCTCCTCAAACCATAGAGCAGTCTCTGCTTTTTCTCTGTAACAAATTACAAAAACATGGTTTTCAGAAATCTCGCTCATATTATCACAAAAGTGCAAAATAAAACGTGTTTCAAAAATTGGTCGTCTGGTAAATGTTTAATATAGATACCTTATTTCCTTGAGATGTCTCTGTCGTTGTCAATGCCCAACAAATTCAATATGTTTTCCTCGATGGCCATTTTGTCCTTGCAGGCATCTTAACTGGGCCATTGTGTGGTAAAGCTGCAATGCTTTGTCTATGCAAAGGGTAACATTTGGGTATAAGTCAGTCAAGTATATTTTGACTAGTGTTAACTAATACAGATTAGTCATCTAAAGTTGTATGCGGTGTGTTAGTTCTGTGTAATTAAAATTGGTGATTGGTGAACATGAAACGATAAGTCTACATAAGTACGGTTTTCACCTGGAGTTAAAATTAAAGTCGATACTAGAAAAACGTTAGCCCAGAAACTAATTTGGCCATTCAGAATTCAAATGCTACTGTTCAAGCTGGTGTCAACCTTGGTTTAACTTACATGTAATCCAGCACACTTACTAACAATGTTGTATTATTTTCGTACCTTCCATTTCATTTCGTAATTCTTGGTTCTTGCTAACTAGCTCTTCATTTTCCTTTTTCAGCTGATGGATGATGTCCCCAGGCATTTGGGTGATCTCGTCTGGGTGAAGAGCAACTTGTCACCAGTACTGAGTATTACTTTTTAGTAGTCTACTCTTCTGTAGACGGCCATCCCAACTTGAGAGCGAGCAGATGACGATAATCCATAGCCAACTTTAATCAAGCTGGCCTGTAGGCTATTGAAAACTAGGCAGTGGCTATGAAGCTTCCTCCATTGCCAGAGGCCCTCTCCAGTGAGTTGAAGAGAAAAAAATGGGTTGTTGCTACCCATCAACGGTGCACAGATATTTATGAAAGCAGGATTGATCAGGGATTCTACGAGCTCTGATGAGAGCTCCCGTTTAATATGCTGCATTTCTTGTACAGAACACATGACTGAAATTATGAGACTCTTGAAACTTAGGTTGTTTTAGCGATTGAAGAAGACTTATGATTAAAGCAGCTTTTTTTCCTGAAGTTAATTGTTTCAAGGGAACGATAGTTGTGACATTAGAGCCGATTAGACAGCAGTTGCCAACAGTTACGCATCTGAATTCATTACATTTGTCTGTAAAAAAGACTTTTCTTTAATAACCAGTCCCAGATATGTCGCTGAATCCTGGGTGATGTGATGGCCTAGGGTTCTCTTCAACATCACCACTTAAAGAGATTATTCTATGAGGTAGATGGTGGGTTTGCAGCTGATGATGTTTAAATTTCTTTAACATTCTTGTATTAACGTACATTCCAAACGATGAAGACTTATTATGCATTCCATACTTTGTGTCCATAAAACAGATCACACAGCGGTCATTTTACCATCAGGAATGAAATTAAAGCTGATCAGACAAAACGTTTGCATTAGGGATTGTACCTAAAACTAGTAAGTGAGAATTGGGACAGTGCCTTAAACTTAAATGATGTCGAGGAGGCAGTGAATAATTTGGAAGCAAAAATTAAACACCACATGGATGAGTGTATGACGTTGCGGTCAGTACGCATGTCATCGCGTTATCCAGTGTGGATGACACCCTTAGTAAAATCGTTAATGAGGGTAAAGTCAAGAATAGCTCCAAGCAATAAAGATCGGCTGCCTGAGGTTAATGGGAAAATAAGCCAATTGATTTGTAAGTACAGAAGAACACTTGCAAAGACACCTGTCGGATCCAGAGAATGGTGGAAGCACGTAGATAACTTGTCCCAACAACGCAGCATTTCTGCTAACATGACATTGGACACTAAATCACTGGAGAAGCTAAACGACTACTTCACCAATTTGTGCACTGATTACGCATATACGAAGCCTGTACCAGCTATTGTGGATAAGAGCTTAGAAGCCTCTCAGATATCAGAAAGACATGTGTGGAATTGCTTACAACATATGAAGAAAACCACTATGGGACCAGATCTCATTCCCTTTGTGTACAACACCCATGCACGAGACATTGTCAAACAACATCTGAGTTCAACACAGTTTGCTTATATGACAAGGGGGAGTTGCACTGATGCGCTCTTGAGCATGCAGCATACCATCTACAGCTATTTAGACGAGTAAGACTGCAAAGCCGTGCAAGTATTTGCAATGGATTTTAGTAAAGCATTTGACTGTGTCAATCATGAACTCCTGTCATCTAAGCTTAGGCAGTTGCCATTAAATCCCCTTATTGTGAACTGGTATTTAGGCTTTCTCGAGAAACGCCAGCAGCGAGTAGTTTATAATGGTGTTGAGGGACAGTGGCGTGAGGTTATGGGGGTACGACACAAGGTAGTGTCAGTGGGCCATATCTTTTTAACATGTTTATTAATGACTTGGAGATCAATCTGGAAGGTCGCCCAGCCTTGTTTAAATATGCTGATGATTCTACAATTATCGTCCCTTTTTGGGGAAACAGCCAGTGTCGCACTGACTTGGTGGATCAGTTTCTTAGCTGGTCCAGCCACAATCACATGACATGCAATCTAACAAAATGCAAGGAGATTATTTTCCGTAAGAAAGGTTTCAGTCAGGACATCGCGCCAGTTAGTAATATACTGCAGTGCGCAGAGTTATCCATATTAGGTGTTACCTTCCAACAAAATTGTAAATACAGTAGTCACGTGCGCGCGAAGGTAATTAAGGCGAACAAGTCATTATTCGTATCAGGATCTTTACGTAAGGAAGGAATGTCCCAGGAGGAAGTAGATCACCTTTTTAACGCAATAGTTTTACCAAATTTTTCTTACGCTCTGCTGGTTTATGGTGCCTCAAATTCCGACCTTTCTGTAATACAGAATTTTTTAGACCGGTGTATGAAAAGAAAGTTTATGTCCAAGAATGTAAATATCAGGGATTTGCTAGAGAAGGTGGACAAGACACTCTACCAAAAAAGATTGAATGACCCCGAATACCGGTTCTTCCAGTTTTTACCTAAGGAAAAGAACATGAGGTACAATCTTAGAAATACGTCAGTCTCTGTCCCTAGAATCTACACTGACAGGTTTAAGAACGTTTTTAGTAACAGAATAATTTTTAGATATGATATGTAAATAGCTTTTTTTTTAGTTAATATTATAACTTAGGATATGTGATTTTATCTTAAGAAATAAAGATTATTATTATTATAATTATTATATTATTATGCTTTAATGTTCTCCGCTGCACAAAACTGATGTAGAACTTTTGCCTAACAAAGTACTTTTTAGAGGATAATAGGCACTTTGCTTTTGCCAGCCATTCTCTAAAGTAACAATGGTTTGCCTCAGACTGCACAAGTTTTAGCTAAGATGAAGTTGGAGTACATTTCTTAATGTATGATTTGGCAGCATCTCAAATTAATCTTGTCTTTCACAAAAATTTGATAACTTTTCTGTAAGGAATTCTGGAAGGTTCTCTTTCATGTTTCTTCCTAGAATGCAACCTACTTGTAGAAAAAAGCCTTGCCCTTGGTAACCTACATGTCATTTTATCTGCATTGTAGTATGGTTGCTCACTGAATTATTGTTAGGTATTTTCAGTTATAGTTCCTAATCAGTAAAGTGTTGAACTCTTACCATGCTGATCATTCAGAGAGGTAATGGAATCAAATCTCTGGAATTGCTTAGCATAGATTTGCTCGGACATGTACTTAACATGAATATTGTGTTCGTATTTGACATTGAGTTGCTGGTATTTGGCTTTCATTTGCTGGTATTTGGCTTTGATTTATTGTAATTTTGCTTTCACATGCTGGTATTTAGCTTTCATTTGCTCATACTTTGCTTTCATATGCTGGTATTTTGTTTTCTCGCTTTTCACATAACCCCAGCAGGGGATTCGACGAACACTCTGTACGTGTCCTCGCTTTTCAATTTACCCCAGCTAGTCAAGGGTTGTTGTGATGTTTCTATCATTGAACATACAAGGGGCTCATTGCCATGATGTAAGAATCCATTGTCCAAGAAAGCCGCAAACACAACAACATGGCGAATCCTGGGAATCAGTGTTTTGTCAGGTGACCTTTATGAGTACTTCCCGAAGACAACCAAGCAATTGATCTAAAGCTACTGCTGTTTTTTAAGCCTTATTTTGTATACTCATACTTGTAATCAATTGCAAGCTGCAGTGAGCTTAGCCCCATGTAAAGGAGCAAACCTGAACAACGAGATTAAATAGATACATTATGAAGACTTACCTGTTGTGTTTTGTAGATTATGAAGAACGAATCATGAAAGACTCTTACCTCAAAACAAGCGATGCCAGTATATTTCCTTGGCTACATTCTGGACTATTTACGCCAAAGATCTTCAGTGTGGACCTTTGCCTTTCTCCATATAATCCTTTAAAAATCTTGGCGTACATTTACCAAACCTTCGCCGTGACGTTTGAGTGGTATGCACCTTGCTATATTCACCAGGCTGGGTGGTTCACTAATGCTAACAGAATACATTATGAATCCAAAACTGTTGAGCGGCGATACATCCAAGAAGAGCCAAGAATGAAAGCTATAGCCAAAGAAAAAAGCCATTTCTCAAGGAAGTCAACTCACTTCCAGTTGCATGATGTACACTAATTTGAACCCGCGATAGTCTGCGGTTTGCTTTTCCACTGGTCAGCGGCTCAACAAAGAAAAAAAGTTCACAGGAATCGACCAAGCGCTTTTTTTTGCCCCCCACACCTCCCATGCTCATAA